AAAAAAAAAACCAACAAAACGAAAATAAAATGAAAAAAAAAAACAAAAATTCTGGAATAGGACATACGACGAAGACGAAATCCGATAGGAGACAGATATTCTGCCGTGAAAACAAACCGTGGTTTCATCAATTGCCTTCTCTAATTTCTCAGCGCATTGTTGAAGGCCAATTTCACCCAATTCTTTTCGCTGTTTTTCAATTCTTTCTTTTTCCTGCAAAAAAAAATTAAGTTTTTAATAACAACCAATATCTACGAAGGTTGAAAATGCACCATATTCTTTTCAATGACTAATTCAGTAGCGCTCAAACCCAGCAGTGTAAGGAGCGTAAAACGAACCGTTTCTGCAATTCGGTCTGCTTCGTTTCGTGAAGGATAACCCATCACACATACACACACATCGGTGAGATATTTGCGCCTCAACTCAATCCAATCTTCGGGTGTCATATGCAGCATGCTGCAAAAAAATGAATTATTACAGTCCATTCATTTCTTCACCACACATTTCGAAACAGACATAAATGGTCAACGCACCGACTGCCCGTGCGAAGACGCGTTTTTTGCATAGTTTCCCGCAGGTTTTTGTCGCTAACGGGACCGATTTTTCTGGCAGATGCTTCTAGCTAAAAGAATTGAGACTGGTCGCCAGGACTGCCACCCCCATTCAGTTTTAATTCTGGAAACACCCCATTTTAGAGATGGTCGCTCACACGCGCATGTAGGTTGAATTCTCAAAAGTTTCAGTCCTGTAGCTTTCGTAGGTCTCGAGATGAAAAATCGGTACAGGCGAACACAAAGACAACTTCTCGTCAATATGCGTTTTCTGCATTGCATAGATGCAAAAAAAATGCATAAAAAGAAAAGGGGATAGGAAAAGGATGAGAAAAAGAATGTGCGAGCAGTAAAAATAGTGTTGCGGTAAATCGTACTTCACACCTAAGTTGCATATGAGACATTTACTGAAATACAGATCAGCTCGATCATACAATTTCCACTTACTTTTGACTTTAGGTGCGAGTTGCGAAAGTCGCAGTCATGCGAAAGTACCGGGGTTTTGCCTATGTAAAATTTCCATGTCGCACATAAGCTTATCGGCTTTGGCCCAGTATTAAGTTCCTTGCTGAACATCATAAACCGATATGTTCTCCATCCCCCTTCCCCCCCCCCCCCCCCCC